AAGTTAGGAGAATATTCGAGAGACGTTTTCATAAGAATCAATCCATTAACGCATGCTTGTATACTTCAAAGTGCTTATACTAGTTCACCTCGTAGAGTTAAGATTTAATCGAGAGAAGAGTCTTGACTACACGTTTGAACTAATCATTGAGTGAATTCGTGAGAATCTTTAGAACATTAGAGTGAATTAAACTAGAGTTAAATCCCAAATAGTTATCTTGCACCTATCCTGTCAAACCTTTATTCCTCACATTGATAAGAAACCATTTCAGCGAATCTCTAACTCCTTGTTGTCAATTGTCAATTGCTTTATTTTAGTAGTTAAACGTAGTTCATAATCATTACAAATCAAGCTTTGGTCATCCTGAATAGCGTTAAGCTAAAAATTACTAAGCATTGTTTAAATCCAATCCCTGTGGAGACGATAATTTTACTATACTATCTTTAATTAGCGAGCATCAATTTCGTGTTGTGTTTTGCGCTCGTCAATTTTTGGCGTCGTTGCATGGTATTGGCAATTAATAGTGTTCAAATTAGTTTTTGGTGCTAATTCAAGAATTTATTCTATTCTATTCTATTTTTCTTTTTTATTCTTCACGGGTTCCTCTTTCATGTGCAGGCAACAGATTGACGTCTCTGGTGTATGACTCGATCTTCTTCAAAGGAATTGATTCCATACAATCCAGAGGTAGAAAAGAGTCTGCGACAGTTGAGGAAAGAGAAAGAACTCACCGGAAAGTTCTTGGGGCAATCTTCAACCCAAGAACACATGGCTAATAAGAGTGAAGATGAGGCAAATTTAGCTATAAGAGAAGCAGCACATCACAGAGAAGAAGCTGCAAGGATAGCAACTGAGGCAGCCCGTAGAGTTGATGATGAGACCGTCAACGATGATGGGGGCCGAAGATTCAATCTGAATCGACCCTTGATTGAAGATCAGTTCGAGAATGCGGGTGCCAGGCCTGGTAGAGCGTTAGGTGATTACGCCAGACTAGACTATAATCAGGGACTGTCCAGTGTCAGACCTCCACCAGTAGCAGCGAATAATTTCGAGTTGAAGCAAGGCTTGCTTCAAACTATCTATAACGACCCCACATGTCGTTTTGCCTTCTAGAACCCTATTCCCCTAAATAAGACTCCCCGTATGTGCTTTTAATGTTTTATGACTTGCGGGGATGGTTAGTTCAGGAATTGGAAGGGTTCTGGTTGAAATCGGAATACTTGGTTCCCTAGTTGGCTTTTAAAAGGGGTAAGTTTGACTTCGGTCAACGTTTTGAGTAAATGACCTAGGAATCAGGAGTTGACGGTTCTAATAGGTTCGTATGATAATTTTGGACTTGGGCGTATGCTCGAATCGGGTTTTGGACGACCCAGGAGCGTTTCGGCGCTTAATAGTAAAAGTTGGCTATTTGAAGGTTTAAAGTTCTTCAAATTTAGTTTGGAGTAGGTTTTAGAGTAATCGAAATCCGTTTGGAATTCCGAGTCTGATAATAGTTTCGTATGGTGATTTAAGACTTGCACGCAAAATTTGGTATCATTCCGAGTAGTTTAAGTATGTTTAGGCGCATTCGGAGTAAGTTTGAAGAATTTGAAATTTCTAAGTTGAATCAATATGGTTTGGAGTATGATTCTTAATTTTGATGTTGTTTTACGCGTTCCGAGGGTTCGAGCAAGTCCGTTTTATGATTTCAAACTTGTTAGTATGTTCAGGCGGGGCTTCGGGTGTTAACCGGACGAGGCTCGGACCAAGTTGGAACTTGGGAGCAACAGCTGAAGCTCCCAGCTTCTAGTGTAACCGCACCTGCGCATGGACAACCGCAGGTGCAAGCTCGCAGAAGCGAGCCACAAGCCGCAGAAGCGATCAAGAGGGGGTCTGCCAGTGACCGTAGAAGCGGCGTGGTGTGCGCATAAGCAACCATGCTTATGCGATGAAGAGCCGCAAAAGCGAGACCACAAAAGCGGAAAAACGTCCGCAGAAGCGGCCAGCGCTGGCCCTGTGTATCATCGCCAATGCGTCCCTCCACCCGCAGAAGCGGAACCGCAGATGCGACCCTCTGCCCGCAGATGCGAAAATCACAGAAGGCAGAACCTTCATTTAAGTCGGGGTTTGAGTATGTTTGACCCATTTTCTCCATTCTTGGGCAATTTTGGAGCTTCTTGAGAGGGGTATTCACCTAGCAACTTGGAGGTAAGTTAATTCTACCTATTGTGAGTTAAATACATAGATTATGGGTAGCCTTTAACATGTAAATTGTGAAAATCAAGGGTGTAGATGAAAAACTTAGGTTTTGATAAAAATGAGATTTTAACCACGAAAATGATTATGGAATGGGATGAAAATTGTATATTTGAGTTCTTAAGGTTATGGGTGATAATTTTCTCCGAAAATTTTCGAAATTCGGGCACGTCGGCCCGGGATGAATTTTAGGAATTTTACCAATTTGGGTTGGGTAATTACTCTAATAGATAAATTATGAAATTTTGAGTATTTATTGATTAAATTATATAACATTTGGCTAGTTTCGGATTTTTCGGCACCAATTGAGGCTTTAAGGCGAGATTGTGATCGGGAAGTGAACTTTGAGACGAGATAAGTCTTTTGTCTAACCTTGTAAGAGGAAATTTACCCCATAGGTATTTTAAATAAATATTTGTTTCTAATTGTGGGGGCTACGTACGCACGAGGTGACGATAGTCCATGCTAGTTACTATTATGCTATTGTCTGGGTAGTATTAGGACCCAATTCATGAACTATTTGGAATTTTGCACTATACTTGTTAAATTAAAATGCCTAAATTATCTTAGAACTTGTTAGAGAAATTTCAAAAAGTAGTTAATGAAATTTGTATTACCTTGGATACAAATCTTTAATAATGTTTAAGTCAAATGCTTATAAAAATATTCTTCTCTTCTTGTGGAGCAGGCCGAACGCCTCGGCAGTAGATAGATGCATCTATGGATCGTGTCGCACGTCCCTCGGCAGTGTACACGTCACTCTGGATTGGGTCATACGACCTCGGCATAAATCGTGCTTAATAATAACAATTACACGATGCTTTGACCTTTTATTGCAGCTTGTGAAGATAAACGATTTATTAGAAATTATTAAATTATGAAAGAATTATTTATTTCTGCTTGTTAAAGAAATTATTGTTATTCACATAAATCACGTTTACTTAAATATTTTTATCTTTATATTATTGACCCATAGTGAGTGTCGAAGTCGGCCTCTCGTCACTAATTCTTCAAGATTAGACCTGATACTTACTGGGTACACATTGTTTACACACTCATGCTACACTTGTTGCACTTTTGTGCAGGATCTGAGACAGGTGCATCAGGCGATCCTACCGGTGCGCATCCTCGATATTCTGAGGTCTAGTCGTGAGCTGCCTTTCCTGAGCCATTCCGCAATACCTAGTGTCTCTCTTTGTACTTGCATTCTGTCTATTTTATGTTCAGACAATATTTAGAATTTTTGTATAATCTACTAGATGATCATACACTTGTGACATCAGGTCTTGGCACATACATTTGTAGAATTGTAGTTTGAAATTATTACTTTAGTTTTTATTTATTTAGACTTTTTATTCTTCTTAAATCTTGCAAGAAAGAAAAGTTTAATTACTCGAAAATTTATTAAAAGAGGAAATATATGTTTAATTCACTAGTTGGCTTGCCTAGCGGTGATGTTGGGCGCCATCACGACTTATGGATAAAATTAGGTCATGACACTATCCAAAACAATTGTATCTTCATAGGAAAGGTGAATGAAGATCCTAACACTCACTTGATGGATTTTGAGGAAATTACGAACACCTTCTGGTACAACAGAGTGTCAAAAGATGCAGTATACTTAAGGGCATTCCCTTTTTCACTGACGAATTACGCGAAGCACTAGCTTCGTAGCTTATCAATAGGGTCGATCAGGACATGGGAAGATATGACTGGAAAGTTTCTTGATAAATACTTCTCAGCTGCAAAAACAGTGGAGTTCATAAGGAAAATTCACAACTTCTACCAGACGGACACCGAAATAGTTTTCGAGGCTTGGGAAAGATTCAAGGAGATAGTGAGGAATTGAATTGTGGATGAAACTCCAGGACTTTTGGGATGGACTGACACCTCTCTCACGACGAACTCTGAACAATGCAGTTGGAGGTCCTTTATTGAAGAAGACACTCGAGGAGATTGTGGCAATTCTTGATGAGCTATCTGTAGATGCTAACCAATGGTCTTCTGAGAGTAATGATAGAAGAAGATCTATTGGGGTTCATCAAGTAGATTCTAACACCACAGTGCAAGCCCTACTAGACGCCATGGCCAACGAGATAAGAAAGTTGACCTTAGCCAAGGTCCAAAGCCAACCATCACTAGTTTGTAATTTATGTGGAATGGTCCATCCAACGCATGAGTGTTAGGCCGTAGCTGCAGATGAAGTGGTAAATGTTGTGGGAAGCTTTGATAGAGGCAACTACCCAAGTGGTATTAATTTCAATTCTACGGGACAGAGGCACCCAGGCTTTTCTTGGAATTCACCAAGTGGTAGCCTGAACTCATGACAGCAAAATAACTCTTGACCCCAGGGACCAGGAGCTCCAGGCTTTCAAAATCAGCAGAGGCAGCAATATCAGCCTCCACAATCTAATCAGTCTAGCATGGAAGATCTAATGAAGGCTTTTATCATCAAGACAAATGAGAGGCATGAAACCCATAGCTCAGCTATATGAGAACATGGCGCAGCTATCAAAGATATGGGCACGACTTTTCGAAACCTGGAAAGACATGTTGGGCAACTAGCTACTCTATTATCTTAGAGGGTAGCCGGAACGCTCCCTGCTGATACTGAAAGAAATCCAAAAGAGACAATAAATGTAGTGCCTTTGAGGAGTGGGTACGAGTTGGAGGATCCCATAGCAAAGCAAAAGGATGAGCCGATTGAAAGATAGGTGGAGATTGTGGAAGAGCAGAAAAATGATGATATTCAAAAAGGTGAAGGAATGGTAGAGGATGATCTCAAGAAGAAGGAGAGGGTTAGAGCTCAGAAAAAGAAGAAAAATGATAATTCAATAAATAACGAGACTGAAGAGAGCAAATACATGCATGCTCTACCTTTTCCTCAGAAGCAAAGAAGAGAAAAGTTGGATAAACAATTTAGGCGCTTTTTAGAAGTGCTCAAGCAGGTGTATGTGAATATACTTTTCACAGAGGTGCTTTCACAGATGCCAGCTTATGCTAAATTCATGAAGGAGATATTGTCCAAGAAGCAAAAAGTGGAAGAGACATCGGTAGTCAAGCTGAAGGAGCATTGTAGTGCCATCTTGAAAAATAAGCTTCCTAAAAAATGTGGAGATCGAGGGAGTTTTACTATACATTGCTCTTTAGGAAGTACTAAATTTAAAAACTCTTTGTGTGATTTAGGTGCTTCCATTAATCTTATGCCTTTGTCTATTTTCAGGAAATTGGAGGGAGAGATTGGAGAGATCAGGTCGATCCTTGTGTCCTTGCAGCTGGCGAATCAGACCACAATCATATCTGAAGGAATAGTGGAAGCTGTGCTGGTTCGGGTAGACAAATTTGTGTTCCCAGTGAATTTCATTGTGGTCAACATGGAGGAGAATAGGGAGGTCCTACTAATTTTAGGAAGACCCTTCTTGGCTACGGGCAGAGCAATTCTAGATATTCAGGAAAGGCAGCTCATGCTCAGAGTAGGGGATGAAAGGTTGATCTTCAAAATGGAAGGAGAAAGGGGGGCCCTAAAATAGCAAATCAGAAAGAGTGAAGCTGATAAGTGTGGGGTATACCCAAAGAATGCAGACAAGAAGCTCTCAGTGTGGATGTGTGTACTGGGTCAGGCATGCAAAGGAGATCCCGACTAGATGAATCAGGGAAATTTTCTTTACCTCTTGCTTTTTATTTGTGTGTCATGGGGACATGCCACAATTTAAAGTATGGGGTGAAGAATGTATATATGTATATATGTGTTTGCCGTCGTTTTTTTGATTCTTTTGAGTTTTTTTTTTTTTTTTTACTTTTCCCGACGATGGATTTTCTCGACTGTCTTCTTAAGGGATCAAAATCAAAGAAAAAATATTTTATTTTCTTAGGTAGTGTAATAATTTTTTCTTGGTTTTTCTTTGTGCAGCAGTTCTTTTTCAAGGGTTTTTGTTGAACCGAGTGTAGTTAGTTGGTTTTTAGTAGGAGTAGTGAAGTCTTGTGCTATGTATTAAAATGAAGATGACTTTTCTTGACTTTGTTGTGCCTTGAGAGCGGTGAGTGCCTAGGCTCATTTCTTGACTCTTAAATAAGTGCCTTAATTTGTGTGATTGTAACTTTTCTTAACTGCTTTGACTAGAGAGTCGGTTGATGTCTAGAACTTGCCCCATGTGTGTGAGGTTTTGTGCCAATATGTGTGTGAGATTGATGACTAGAGAATCGGTTAATTTGCCAATATGTTGAGGATTGTGATATTTTGTACATGTCGGTTGATGTTTAGAACTTGCCCCATGTAATTGCAAAGAAAAATAATAGTCTTGTTCAGTCTAGGAAGTGATATAGACATTTCTTTGTTGATCCACATATATGCTTTTACCCACCTAATGAATGTGTATCATATTTAACCCCTTTGAGCATGTAATCCTATTTCTTTGGCAACCACCTATTTTTTGGTGATTATCTTTGTATTATTTTGTTTGATTTAATTCATTGATTCTCTTAGGTAATCGAAAGAGCTTGTTGAATTGTTGATTAAATCAAGTTAGGAGAATATTCAAGAGACGTTTTCCTAAGGATCAATCCATTAATGCATGCTTGCATACTTCACTGTGCTTATACTAGTTCACCTTGTAGAGTTAAGATTTAATCGAGAGAGGAGTCTTGACTACACGTTTGAACTAGTCATCGAGTGAATTCGTGAGAATCATTAGAACATTAGAGTGAATTAAACTAGAGTTAAATCTCAAATAGCTATCTTGCACCTATCTTGTCAAACCTTTATTCCTCACATTGATAAGAAACCAATTCTGCGAATCTCTATCTCATTGTTGTCAATTGCTTTATTTTAGTAGTTAAACATAGTTCATAATCATTACAAATCAAGCTTTGGTTATCCTAAATAACGTTAAGTTAGAAATACTTGAGCATTGTTTAAATCCAATCCATGTAGAGACGATAATTTTATTATACTATCTTTATCAATTTCGTGTTATGTTTTGCGCTCGTCACTACTGTAACAGAGTGGCTCTATTGACATAACATAATTCACAGAATTATTAGTATTCGTTAGACCACGATCACTAATAAAAGCAATGTCAATTATACATTACAAATACAATACAAACTCATGAAACTATACCATGACATGTTCTTTCATCTCTGCTCTGTTTTCTCTCGCATGTAATTTTTCATGGGCCAACCTTTTTGCATAAGGAGCATTTATTTTTCTTGCTTGAGAATCCTTCCTTGACTGCAGGCTTCCTCTTCATGTGCTTTTCAGCAAAGCTGACCATGCAAGTAATAAAAAGATCCTCTTTATCACAATTTAACCCAAGCATACAAATAATAATCTCAACTAATTTGTCTTACATAGCATATTCACAAACCTCTATCGGTATCTCGACCTTTCCAACGTCAAATATAACGAATAGGATTCTCCATTCATCTACCATGTAAAATAACTTCTATGATTATTTTGTCCCTCATTGGTGGTCACAATACCTAAAGTTATTACAAAGATACATATTTCAGTGGTCCTTACAAAAGATAGATTCATGAAACAACTTTAAAATTGCTATAAAACTTAGTTATTTGTCCATGCAACTCTTCAGTCGTCCCACAATTACCAACAGTTGTCGAACAACTTTAGTAGTTGTCAGGATAACTTCTGTAATTATCCAACTATTTTTTCCAATAACTAAAGAAGTTCTTCACAATTGCATTGATTGTCCCAGCACTAGTTAGTTGTTCAGCAACTACATATAGTTGTCGGATAGCTATAGTAATTGTTGGGACGGTTGTTCTATTTGCCAGACAGAAGTCCAATAACAATGAAAGTTGTTGACTGAAACAACCAAGTTAGGTTCACTAAATGCAGCTGAAGAACGAATACAAATTAATCTTGAAAAACTACCGGCTATGTCCATTTATAAGTAGTTTATTATAAAAAATGGTCAATTCATATAATATTACTAATATTAGCCAAATATTATCAATATTGGCCAATTAGCTATTTGTAGCCAAAACAAAAGGTCAAATTTTTGCTTTCTTTCGAGTGAGTATTATTAGAATAGATTGGGTACATCTTAAAAAACTTGAATCTCAGTTTTGGGATGATTTGGTAGAGTTTTGAGGTGATTTGAATTGAAAAATCTAAGTAGAAGATGAACATGAAATATATATATGTATATCACATTGTGTATCACATATGTATCATATTTGTATCAAATATATATCAAATGTATATCCATGTATACCTGTGTGTAAGATACATGCGTGATACTTGTTTGATACGTGTGTCACAGAAGAAAGTTTTTTTAAACTCGATTTCAACTACAAATTCTGATACCAAATCAGTCCAAATCACCTCCAATATTCCTCAAATTTTGTATATTGACTGATCTATATGTTTCAATGAATTTCAACTATACACATTGAAAAAGTCCTTTTTTGCTTAGATTTTTGGAATCTTGTATATAATTTTGTGTATTTCATCACCTTATTTGCTACCTTATCCAAAAAATTTCCTTTCCATCTTGCATCTAATGTTGATGATCACGCTTAAAAATGTGAAAGGAGATCTTTGCGTGTGAAAAGAACCTTATTTATTTGGTTTTTCAATTTTTATATATGGTTGACTAGTTTTGGTAAGTCTATTATTAATAGTTAGAAGTTGGTAAGTTAGGACTTATTTGGGACATTTCTGTAAGATTCTCATTAATCTTTTTCACTTACCAAAAAATAATGAATGGTCCTTAGAAGTAATTTTCAGCTTAAGAACAAACCAAATATAGTCCGGAAAAATAAATAATATTTTTTATAAACAAATCTAAAAAACCTATTCTCCACAAATATTCTCAATAAAAATACAAATGCAATCACGAAATCTACTAGTAATAAATTATTTTAGAGGAGATTAGATTCCTAAAGAAGAAGAGGAAAAAGAAAATGAAGAAGAATGAGGAGAGGATAATGAACAGTAATGATGACTGCGAACATGGGAAGAAGAAGGCCTAGGAAAGAGTTTGGAGTTTAGTGGTAATATTTAGAGCCTCTTTGGAAAGTGGAAATGGATTTGAGTGTAATTACATAGTTTGACATGTTTGTTTGGTCAAGTAATTACTTGGTCAGCATGGAATTAATTGGGTATAATTACACTCTCCAATTCTCAAGAAGAGGTGAGAATTGATGGCAATTACACTGTGTAATTACAAGGTTGCCTTAATTTCTTCCCTTTTTGTTTTTATTTTAATTTATTTTCTTAATAACTTTTTATTTCTATTATTTTAATTTTATTTTTACTTTTCAATTTCTTTTAAAATTTTAAAATATATTTTTCTTTGTACATTATTTATCTTTTATTTCTCTACCTTTAATTATTGTGATTCCATGTAATTGCTTATATTTTATTTTTTATTTATTTTATTATTCTATTTTTTGAAAGTACACCTTCTAATATTAGAAATAATAAGTCATTAACAAACTTGGTATATAATGAGTGATGCAATTAAAGTGAAATTTCGTTATTGAATATGGTTATAAACTTACTATGTTTCTTAATCTTAAGTTGTAGTGGAACTTACTATTATTATGTTGGAATTTGACATATGTTAAACTTTTTTTTTTGAATTTTAAAATTATGTTATATTCATGGTTCCATTTTATTTGTTTTAGTAGTATTGGCTCATATTGCATGTTGATCATTTTTTAGTTAGAATTGATAGATTAGTTTTGTCAAATATTTGAATAATGTTAGGATATTATATTTATAAATATTAATTTATATTATCAAACATGAATTCCATGATGTTCAACGTATATTTTTAGTTTTTGCAAGTATCTAAACTACAACAACAACAACAACAACAACCCAGTGTAATCCCACAAGTGGGGTCTGGGGAGGGTAATATGTACGCAGACCTTACCTCTACCCCGAGGGGCAGAGAGGCTGTTTCCAGGAGACCCTCGGCTCAAAGAGGCAACAAGAGACACTATATTAGTACTATCAATAGACTCATAATAAAACAACATAAAGTACCATAAAATCCATAACATAACATAAATACCATAAAAACAAAGTAACAACAATATAAGAGATATAGGAAATACGAGAAAGATGTAAGGTATTAATACACAGGAGATAAAGCCCATCATCAGTAGTTGATCAATAGCATCCTAAGACTACTTCCTAACTGGCTAGTCTCACTCTAGTGCGCTGTAACAAAGACATCACAATTTCCCTAACCTACCACCTTAATGCTCGATCTCCACAATTCCCTGTTTAGGGCCGTGTCCTCAGTAACCCTAAGTCGCGTCATATCCTGCCTGATCACCTCTCCCCAATACTTCTTAGGTCTCCCCCTACCTCTCCTCGTACCCACCACTGCCAGTCGTTCACACCTTCTCACCGGTGCATCAGTGTTCCTCCTCTGAATGTGCCCGAACCATCTGAGTCTTGCTTCCCGCATCTTGTCCTCCATGGGGGCCACACCCACCTTCTCTCGAATATCTTCATTTCTAATCTTATCCTTCCTTGTATGCCCGCACATCC